GATTGTAGGTAAATATCAACTAATGTATATATATGATTATATGTACCTTTGATCTGTAAAATTCATCGATTTGCTCAAAAGCAAGGTATAGGTTACCACTGGCGGACTGTATGGCCTTCTTCATATTGGCGTGCGTTCCTTCAACTCTATTGGTGGTACTATTCCCAAGATGCTTGACATCTGCGAGGTATCGGCCGACCCACTAATCTTTATTGAAAAGCTTACTGCAAGCGAAAGTATACACATAAGCATAGTTTCCAAGCAAACGATCTCTGATAAGAATCCAATATATAGTTACCTCTCGAGGTATGCTTTCACTTCTTCCGGCTTTTTGGCTTTCATTGCAGCCTCATTGTACATGCCGATCGCCTTTTGCTCAAAATCCTCATCTGGAACCAGTTGCTTGTTTTGGAACTTATCATTATATTCATCAGCCATCAAGTAGTTGATGGCTTTCAGAAGCGCCTCAAAGTCCTCTTTAACTTCAAAAAGCTTTTGGAGCTTGACTTGAAAATTGCGTCTGATGTGGTTGGTGCAGAGCAATTTTTTCGAGTTGGGGAAGACGTGATCCAAGGCTTTCATCAACACAGATTCGCTGTCGGTCACAAATACTTTCGGGGAGATTGGCTGCTCAGCTGGCCAAACAACTTGCTCAAGCTTTTTGACAAACCAGTCGTAGCTGTCATTCGTTTCTTCAGACACCCATCCGCCAGCAATACAGAACGTTTTCAAGTCTGGATAACCAACATTGCCTGTACCGACGACATTTACAAAGGGGAGCCGATGTCTGTTTGTCTTGTACGTGGCATCCATGATGATGGTTTCGGGGAATTGGCGAGCAAGAGAAATTGCAGAATGATGGGCAAAAAAAAGAGAGTGCAAGAACCGTTTTTCTCCATCTTGCTTCGATTCCCATTCAACGACGTAATCCTTGTCCTGTAGCTTGCTGATAAGCTTGAACATGGTATGATCGGGATCGTTGTTGAATACCATCTGTCGCATATTCGTGATATCCTTCGGGTTGACAACCGTTTTATTAGCAGCAAGGTATGACACAATTGCAGTATTACTGGCGTGCCCTTTGATCATGCTAAGAACAATGTCGTGCTGCTTTCCATCGAACTGACGAAGCATTGGATACGACGAGAGCTCCTTTGCAATCTCATGATTGTGTTCACCGTCGTAAAAAGAGACAAAGTGCCATTGCTGGCTAGCCTTGCTCAATGGCTGCAGCTTGATCTCAAACTCGCATCCAATTCTCTGGGAGTCTTTCTCGCGCCGTTTCTTGCTGTCCTTGCTGTTTGATCGAATGACATCACCTTTGTCGTTCGCCAAGATGGTTTCTACTGTCGTATTTTTGCCATCATCATATACCTCCTGATTGGTAGGTTGTCCAAAGTGCTTGCAAACAAGACGGAGGACTCTTTTCTCTCCTATACGCGTACTTTTCAAGGTACAGAGGGAAACCTTGTTCTTTTTCCCCCAGTCGACGCAAGCTTGCTTAGCAGAGTCAAAGTCGACATAAGTAACTCGAAGTTCTTCAGGAATTGTGCTTGTTGTTTTCGACATTGCGATGGAAATGAGTTGAGAGATTAGAAAAATATGCTTGTTTGTTTATGGGAAGTAAAAGAAGCAATTTTTTAAGATACGCTCCAATTTCCATTTTCACTTCCTGAGTACCATATAGTACTAAAGATGATGCGAAAGACCATGATAACGTACAGGTCGATGTGTATATGGACCATGTATATACGGACTATGTGTCTATGGACTATCTATATAGGCAAATGTTCTGCTATTCAAATAATTTTGCATTAATGCAGTCTCAGTTTCATGTGCATTATGTAAGACGTGTCAAATCAAAAAGTTTATTTTCTTTTGTTTGTTTCATAATCCTCGTGGCCTCCCTTTCTGTTCTACATCATTTTTCAGTTCCATCATTAGCATATTACTCGCATTTCCTGTCTATGCTCCAGAAGACTCTTCTTTATACAAGCAAGTAGCAGTTGCCAGTGCTATATTGTGCGTGTGTGTGTGTCTCCTTTCTGGCAATCTACTTTTGAAAAGGCACATGTAGAAAAAGGCGTACACTTAGTTTATAGCTTCTCGTTTTATTTTACTTAGTCTGATGCTAATGCTTCGCTCTTCAATCTTGAAATGACTTTACTTCAATTCGATTTGCGATTGACGAATGTGGATGAAGTGGTGTGCACGAAATGGTTCGGTGGAAGGGGGGTGTATGAAATGGTTCGGGTGGAAGGGGGGTGCAAATTAAAAATCCAGGCTGGGCAGTGACTGGGGGGGTTGCATGAGGGGGGGTGCAAATAGATCTGCCCTAATATAAAGGGGCAAAAAACTACTGAATATAAGCTGAATATACTGCTTGTCATCCAAATATAAAGTTATTTTATAACCGCTTTATAGTTCCTACAAAAGGCAGCTTTTTTTATCACATATTCAGCTGTTTTCAACAGCTTTATAGTTGGTTTCCAATTTTGATAATGGGTAGTGCATATGCATAGAAAGGGATCCCTTAATTGCTTTACATACGGACTGGGTACTGAAGCTTCATCGTGCATACCAAGGTCTGCATAGCATAATTTAGCGCGATCGATTTTGGGCATATACTAAATGGATGAAATAATCGCAGCAGGTTTTGATTATTGTATAGCAGTGATGATTATCATAGTATGGTCATATACAACCGAATTTATTTATTCCATTATTAAAGTTTCGGAAAACATTTACAGAGCAGTAAAAAGCATTAAAGGGGTGGTAAAGAGTAAATGCGAAGGGTGAAAGGAGTCTTCTATGTATATGTGTGTGAATGTGGTGCATAAAATCTCTAGATGGGGATGGGGCAAAGGCAAAAGGGTGAATCATGCTGTGTGTGCTAATGAGTCCGCGATTCACTTAAGAAGAACGAAGGTAACCTATACTGCAGCTAGACAGAAGCAAAAATATGGGTAGCTTTACCGTACCTGAAAAGTTCCGCTTGGACAGTGCCAACAGCGATCGGACAGTGGGCAACATGCATGCAGCAGTGCAAATGAGGATCTACGCGGATGTCCAGGATGGAAGACCATGCAAAGTACAAACAAGCTATGAATGAGGAAAGAAGGCTTTTAGTGAAAGAAAACTGTAGAAAGAAAGTAAGTAAACATTACAAAGGGAATACTTACAAGCTTCAACTCGTGTGGATCATGCCTATGATTTTGGATAGGAAACCCGGTCGAATCATGAGCTACATGTACACACGAAATAAAATATCCTTAATAAAAGCTGCAGAGACTTAGAGGTAGTTAAAGAGCGATAAAAGTAAAGAGTGCCTTACAAACCTACGGTATTGGGTCCTTGAGAGAATAGTGTATCGTAGCAGCCAGGAAAGAAGAGAAAAGGAAGAGAAAGAAACAGAAAGAAAGGCGTAAAATACGAAGGAACGATCGATGCGAAATATAACTAACCTGCAATACTGTTAAAGTCATGCTGACCATGCATTAAAAGAGTACCAAAAAAAACCAGATCCCCCACAATAAAATGATCCCCTATAGATCCAGGTACTTGCATTTTATCAAACCTCTTTCCTCCAATACTTCTTGTGCCTACACGATAAAATAACAAAACGAACGTAAATTATAATAACCACTGCAGCTGTTAGTTAATGTTGTATATTGAGAGATGATAATACTGTATAGATGCCTACTGTAAGCGATCTCCCAGCCCAGCGACACCGGTCATGGCGCAGCATAAAAATGATGCCCAACAGCAGAACAGTGTCCTAGATCGGCAGCAGCAACAACAACAGCATAACGCGCTCTTGGATACTGTCCGTAATTTGAAGGCCGAGAACCAGGCACTGCACGAAAAGGTCGATAGAATTGGCCAAACAGTTGCCAATATGGCATATCGTACTGCATTAGTTGGTAGTGGGGCCCTCAGCGAAGGTCAAGGTGGTGGCGTTGGCGTTGGCCGTCAAGCTGAAGCGCGTGGTCGTCGTGTTCCACTTGTGTCTGTAAGTGCCATACTAGAGAACAGAGAGACAATTGTAAAAAAAAGAAAGTGGTGAATATTAGAACAGTGATGATTACTAAAAGGAATTCTATTGTTACAATAAATGTGTTGAAGGATTGTATACGTACACAGAATGAGCGACTGGGCGACGCTGGTCTCAGGCTCGACCTCCCTTCACAAACCAGGCCAACAAGGATGCCGTAAAGCGCCTTGTCGACTACATTGAAGGCCAAGGCTGCTTCAACTTGGACAAGAAGCAGATCAAAAAAATGGTCTACACCCATTTTGATAATTTAAGGACGAAGGGGAACGAGTCGCCCAAGACGAAAGCGCGCAAAAAAGTGATGAGAAGACGCTATCAGCGCAGACATAGCGTAAGTAAAGTAATAGGAGGTTTTGTAAGAGTATTGTCTTAACATCTGAAACAGAAATTAGTATGACGGCTCAATGTTTTCTAGCAACATGCGATCGAACTGGAGGAACAGTACCCCGGTGGAAAGTCGTTGCTCCAGGACGGATGTATGTCGGAAGAGGAGACCGACAACGAAAGCAGCAGCACTGGTGTCCTGCGCAGTGGCAAGCATGTCTCGGTCTTCGTGCCCGAATGGCGTAGTGAGCGGGTAATTACTTTCAAAGTAGATTTCTTTACGCGTGAATCTTGACAGAGATGTTGTTTGTAGGCAAACGTCTTTCTGAAAAGACTTGACGATTTCAGACCGGCTGTGGATGTTGACTCGCAGCCGAACGTGCTTGAACGATCAGTAGCACGAAAGGCAGTTACCTTGCGCTCGGCTGTGCATGAGCAGCTGCAAGACTGGATGTTTGCTTAAAGTAAATAAAGCGGTTGCTGGCTTATGCTGTACGGGTTAGGGGTGGGCAAAAAAACGTCTGTATAATATGCGTGTGTGAGTGTGCTATTTATTTGGTTGGGGGAGGAAGAAGCAAGAGGCCGCTCGTTTTGAGTATAGTTGATGGGGGGAGAAAGAAATAAGAGAAAGATAATTTTGAGGAGGGGGAGGAGAAAAAATTGCTTCTCTTTGTTTTACGCCAACATCTTTTTAGGCAACGGAATAACGACTGTTCTACCATTTGCGTGCGTTTGATCGCCGTATTTTACAACTGCCACTTGACTATACAGACGATGAATGGGCACGATGCAGTGCATGTCCTCAGCAAGGAAGTGGCTACGCCATGTCTTCAGATATTCATCCACGAACAACGACTCATTACTGCTGTAAATGCTATGCCAGCGAACAAAGGCAAAAACATGTTCTTTGAGCTGGGCGTCGATCTTTAACTCGTGGCGGAAGAAGTACTGGATTTCGCACAGCCAAGCGATCGGTTCCCCTCGATCTTCTGCTTCATACAGCACCTGTGCGTGCACACCACGCCGCGATCTTGCTTCTTTGCTCCTATAGAGCTGACCCATAATGGTGATTGTCTTCATCTTGTTATAACGATTGTTCACAAACACCCGGCTACCCTGCGCATCTCTGTAATGGTCCAGATGGGTGCCATAAACGGATCGATAAAAGGCAAGAAGGAAATTATACACTGGGTCAGGCATAGGGATCCGTATCAGAACCGTAGAACCGGAACTGAACCGAACCGAAACCGAGAAAATACGGTTCAGTTCCTGTCAAGAACCGAACCGGAACCGAACCGGTTCTGTATAAGTAGAACCGAAGAACCGAGAGGCAGAAGATTGCAATCAGCGATTTTGGTAATTAGTATAAAGTAGGCTATAATGGAAGTTACGAACAATGTTATTCCGAAAAGACCACGAAGTAGTGTATTTGCAAGCCATACTTTATTGAAAAACTTAACAAAACCTGCAAAAGCAGAAGGGAGTAAAAAATAGTAAAGAAGATAAGAGAAAAAAATAAAAAAAACACTTCTTCTGACGGCAGCTTGCTTTCTCCGCCCATGACGCACATCATTACTTGTTCCTCTACTTTGCTACCCACAATGCATTTTTCTCCATGACGTACTACTTAACTAGATTTATCATGGCTTCTCGATCAGTTTTATCAAGTTTGTGCATTCCGTTTGAGATTGCGCATTCTGGGGCTCATAACAGAATTATCTTACCCATTCACCCTTTGCCTTTTATGAGACACTATACACTATACACACGTAGAGACACAGCAGCTGTATGTACTGCCGGTTGTGGTTCAATTCCTCCAATTTTACGATAACATATTGTACTAGTAATACTAAGTCGCTCTAAGTAAGTACTATAAGCTCCACATTTTTTTGTAAAAACTGTGCTTCAATCTTTTAACCATGCAATGACCCACATCGTATGAGAATGTTTACATTCTGTTTCTCTTATTCATTTTGAGATCGCTGTTCAACGTACAATAATAAATTATTCTTTTTTACTGCAGTATTCAAGTATACCGCGACATTTGAACACACACATCAGCTTTCATTTAAAGATACCGAATCTTGCCTTTTTTATATACATGATGGGTTCGGTTCTTCGGTTCGATTCTTCGGTTCTACGGTTCTCGTCGGTTCTAGTCGGTTCGGTTCTTGCTTTAGACGGTTCGGTTCGGTTCCCTTTAAGAACCGAACCGAACCGAACCGTGCGGATCCCTAGTCAGGCATAAACGTTGCTGGTGCAAAATCTAACGGGTATGCATCTGGTGGTAGCGGCTCGCCTCCAGTGGCCTGTTCAGTACTGGTCGACAGCGCAAAAAATCTGTGTGGATCGAACGCACCACTCGTAGTGTCACCAGTTTGCTTCATCGGCTGCACGATGTCCAAAAAGCGATTCAAGAAGGCGAAATGGCTTGGCTTGTCCATGAAGCGGTCCTCAAACGACCGGACAAAGTCGAGAGCACCTGTCTTTTGCAAGAACTTCTTCATGAACGTCATCTCGAATGAATCCTTCTGGTTCGTATCGATCTCCTTTAAATATCCATTATATCTCTCAAAACTAAAGAGCCAGAAAGCATATAAAGGTCCAAAATCCTCGATCGTTACGTCCAAGTGCATATGCAGATGCATATTTGGCGTGATTTGCTCTCTGCTATACATGCGTTCGACATCACGAGCAAAAACGTGTTGGCTCCTTCTATATCGTTCATGGTGACGGAAGGCTTGACCAGCAATCGACAGGCGTTTACGAAGCTCAGCCAGTGAGCGAGAAGATGGCGGGGCAGATGGTTTTGCAAGACGAAGGGCGAGTATACGATACACCACGATTTCCAATCATCAGCAGTCATAAAAGAGAAGCCAGCTCCGATCTTCCGCTTCAAGGAAACGTAGTCGGGAGGGAGCACGATGCTGTCTGCCAAAACCTGTATTTCACAAAGGTCCTGCCTGGTAAGGTCGCCGTTTTCGATCCACATCTTGGTCATACGTCTTGCCGTGCCAAGAAACAAGTTGTGCATTGGATCGATGATCGTGCAGCGAACGGGATCGAAGTATTCAAGGCGGTGCAATTCAGACCATCGTGTTCCAGTGTCACGTTCGATCTGTCGGCGAGCAGCAAGTGTCTCGGCTTGTCGCCATTGCTGGGCGTTCTCTCGATTGTCTTCGCGTATCCGCAATTCCCATTCGTACAAATTGAATCCCGAGTAGTTGATGTCTGATGTGCCAGGGAAAACGGGAAATTGGCGAGCGCACTTATGGCAAGCACAAGTACTTGCGTGCGAGGTGAATCCACTTGTTTTTCTGGTAGCAGGTATATCACAAGCATTGAGTAGGAGTGCCAAACGTACTTGCGCTCCGTCTGGACACTCATTCGTCCTGATCGTTTTCCAGTCATACCACTGAAGCAAATCATCAACCAATGGGCGCAGGTAATGATTCATGTCAGATGTGCTGGGTTCTCGAGGACCTGGCATTACTCCAACGAGTATAACGTTCTCGGTTTTGTAGTGCTTAGATCAGGGGAGATTGTTGACAGTTAGGTAAATTGTACCACAGGAGTTAGTCGAATTTATGAACGGGCCAAACCAGTCAACGTTGAGTGTAAGCAAAAGCGATCGAATCTCTTCGACGAATCGACGACCAGCACGATCAACAAGATCTCGCCACATGTCACCATCATAAACGTCAAAAAAAGCATTTGCCATACTTCTGCGATCGTGCCATGCTTCGATCATTGCTTCGATCATTGCTTCGAATCCCGGTCGCTTGAACAGTCGCTCAATACTCGCAGACAAGGGCTGGTAAGCAAATTCTTTAATCAGTAACAGGCTATTACCTGTGGATTGAAACAGTGCTTGACCACAGAGGCGGTTGTAACGGATATCGTCATTCGTGCATGTGCGCGGGCAATCTGGAGTCAAAAGGTAAATGCTATGGCATTTAGGGCAAGATACATAACGACGCAGGGAATCGATCTGGGCAGAGATGCCAGTGATTCGACGCAAGGTAGCAAGAGAGAGAGAAAGGCGGTCGGTGGACAGGAGCGGAAGATCTTCGAGGAGGAGTCCACAAAACTCAATAAGCGCCATTGACATATGCTCAGACATAAGGTGCAGCTGGAAGAGGACAATGAAAACAATGACAAGGACATAGGGATGCGAATATCCTGAAAGCAATGATGTGCGTGCAGGAGAACTTGTAGTAGCATCTTTTGGAAGGTATGAGAAGTTTTAAACGATTGTAATAAAATGGGTTGCCTTGGACACATATTAGCACATACACACCTCCTTCCTCGTCAATGCTGGCTGTCTCAATTACATTGCCATTGTCACCATCGATCTCCCATTCGACATCGTCTGCATCAAGCAAGCGATCGTCGCTTGCTATTGATTCCTCTTCTCCCTCAACCCCAAAGACAGTGTCCTCAGCAGAGAACGATAACCAGCGAACGGCAGCAACAGCTATATACGTTCAACTATACTTATTTTTTACTCTTTACTACTTTTCGATCGCTTATCTCAGCATACCAGGAGAACGGGAGGGAGAAGGCTCATTCAAAACGCTATCGTCAATATCCATAGCATCGATATCCATATTATTCGCTGATGCCGACGGTGACAGTTGGGAGGGTGAAGCCTACTCACCTTCAAATGTAGCTATAATTGCACTCACTGTAATACGAAATATTTTATTAATACAGTACCAACACTTGATATCCTACATCAGCAGCTAAACTATTGTGCGACATTCTAGATCTTGCAGCATTCACAGAACGTTAAGTATGCTGTTCTCTTTGCACGCGGGTAACCTCACAGAAGCCAATAACAGTGCTTCTGCTACATTCTGGGCAAAAGCATGCAACTAGCTCCGGATTATTCTCTATGACGAGATGGGAATTAAAAAAAAGAACAATGATTAAGACGATCGCTCTCTCTTTTCTTTTCTTTTGTAAGAGTGCACGTGTCCTTTCTTCTAAATTATTCCTGCATTTCTTTATCTTTTCCTCTTATTACACATGATAAAACGAACGATGTATGTTTCTGCATCAAACACATTGATGCATTGCTCTAGTACAAGCTACACAACACAAGGAGTGGAATAGAGAAAACGCATATATAGAGTATTTAGGTATATGGGTCTTTATTGTTGTTAGAGAAACAAGTAGGTGTGCTGCATCATAATGCATAAATTCGATTCCTGTAAACCTAGGATATAGGGGCGCTCATAAAAGAGGAATAAACATTAACACGATGTTAATAAATTTTCTTTAAATTTTTTCTTAACTGACAATTTTTTTTATTCTCGGAGTTTGAAATCGTGCATACTGTTAAATTTTATTTAAAACAAAAACTGAATTTTTTTTAATATAAAAATAAATACCTCCAATATTACTTGGCATAAAAAATTTAAATGGTTATATTAAATACTGAGCTTCTTATTAATAAGAATAGTATGATTTGTTCTATTAAAGATTTAATGGAGCAAGTTATGCATAATTATGTTGAAGATGAAATGTTAGTTAAAGATATTGAAAGTAAGAAGATGATTATGAAAAAAAAATTAATGAAGAAATTAATAAAGTTAAAGATAATTATTTTTGGTATGTTAATACAAGCGATAATGTGTGCACTTACATACATAAAAGAGGTAAGAAAAATGGCCATATGTGTCACAGAAAAATTAATACTAATCTTAATGGAGATAAACCTAAACCTGATTACCTTTGTACTATACATAGTAAACTTTATGTTCCAAAGAAAAAAAATAAAAAATCTACAAAAAAAATAGAAAATCCTAATTTACCATGCATAATTGTTAATGATGGTGATTTTATACATAAAACTAATAACAAAAGAATAAAAAAAAGAAAATCTAGAAAAATATATATATGCAACAGTGGAAGTTTTAACCTAGCAAATGTACTTAAAGGATTATTACAATAATAGGAACCGACGTTATCTACTATACACACTCAAATAATATATCTTACATAAAATAAAATAACTATACATAGTTATGATATTTTATTAGGAAGGGTAGAGTATCGAGTTATCTAAGTTAATTTATTAACTTTCATATAGTTATTTAACATATCGGTTTCATTAAAATCTTTCATTGATATCTAGCTATTTTGGGATTCACTATAACCTTTCCATTTAATTAGGAATATATAGGAGTCATTTGCAAATTTATGATTTATTATGGATTCTATTTCATAAGAAATATTAGAAGTTGAATTATTTCTAATTTTATTTATATCCATTAATGTTCCTTTGCCTTTACCTTTTCTTTTTCTTTTTTCTCATTGAATTTAGGTACATCTTCTTCGCTGGAAACATCTTTATCATTATCATTTTCATCGCTGTATTCATTATCAATAATCATATCAGTATTATCTATACTTAAATTATTTAAAAACTGTTCCTGTAATTTAACCATTTCATCTAATTTATTTTTTGCCTCAGATGAATTGCTAATAACTATATCTATTAATTTAGCTTTGTATGGAAATTCAAAATTATCTGATTCCCACAATTTATGATGTGCTTGTGTATTAATATTAAACTTTTCACTAAATATTTTTATATTTTTTAATAAACAAGCAACACGAAATTGAAGATTATAAAACTTTATGTTGTCCATCTTAACAATAGATTTATTATTATTAAATCTATAAAATTTATTACCTATTGCAGCAAATTGGTCTTCTATTTTTGAACGGAAGCTACCAAAAACATCATTATAATGCCTTTCTTCTGCTGTTAAATCTACATTCTTTTCTTTGCGTATAGGATAAACAAAATTATTTAAAGATAAATCATATCCTTTTTCCGCACCAAGTTCTATAAGCTGATTAATAAATAAAGTATAACCACCATCTGTTGCCAATACATCTTGTTTAGATATTTTTTTATATAATTTCATGTTCAAAAACATACTTCCGTCAGAACTATCGGAACAATAATCGCTTTTGGAAGCATATAAAATCATATCGTTAATATCGCTAACAATTTGTGTACGAACTTTATTTTTTTTAAATTTATATGACCATAATCTTTCATGTTTTATATCAGTATTAACATAGTTAATTCTTGAATCATGACCATCTATTATAAAAGTTATATGTTTAAAAAGTGGTGGATTATATTTATAAGAAGATAAAATTCTTAAGGTTAAAGAAGAAAACATATTCTCTATAGAATCATTAATAATTTTATTTAGCCTTTTATAGTTATCTTCATCTATCCAAAACCTTTTATAGTATTTGTGAAATGATGTTTGTGGGATAAACTTATGAATTTCAATACCAGAAACACTAGAAACTAAATGATATAATAAAAATAAACCTTTTTCAACTTCAAAATAAGGGCCAGGATATTCACAGCTAGTATATAAAACAACCAAAAAGAAAAAAACAGCTATATGACTAAGTTTATCTACTAAAATATTTCTAATATCATCAATACCTTTAATATGTTTTAATTCTGTACGATGCTTGTAATTATAATTAACAATTGGCCAGTTATATTCCAAAAATTCCCACTTATTAACAATAATTTTGTTAACTTCATTATTAATCTTTTCATCTATTTGTTGGTTATCTATTG